AAATCTGTATTGATCTTCTCTATCAATATATATTTTAAATTTGAAAACTCTGTGTTTGTATTCATCCCCCTCTTCTACAAACTGTGTCTTATCTTGTAGACCCTTTCGGGACCAACAATATGTTTCATGAAAATCATGCAGATAAAGAATTTATTAAATATCTGCAAAGAGAGAATAAAGTTTTGAGAGAAAACTCTAAAGAAGATTTATCATATTATGTTAGCGAACTTGAGAAAGCCTTAGATGCAGTAAGAAAAGAGTGTGAAGAAGACTTAAAAACATGGAGTAAGCCAAATAAAGACTTATTTAATAAACTCCAAAAAGTTCAAAATAAACTAAATGCTGAGAGAAAATTTTATGGAAAGAAAAATACCGAGACTGAGGACTTTACAAAGAAATTCCATAAGTTTGAGAGTGATTTGTTTGAGTTAATAAAATTACTGGACTTAAAAAAGGAAAAAGTTTTGGAAGCTGAGAATAGTTTAAGCACTGAAAGAATAGTTTTTGAGAAAGAGAAGAAGAGAATGATCGAAGTAGAAAAACGGTTCGGTACTAAACGCATGTCTTATGAGAATAAGATCAACTCTCAAGAGCTGAATGCTAAAATGCTATTGAATCAGATCTCTAATTTTGAGCAGCTAATCATCTTGGAACGAGCCAAGATTGATAAAGAGAAGAAAGAGATCAAAGAAGAATGTCTGAGTAAGAATCGGGAACTATCTGACTGCATTGCTCAAAAGCAAAAGACTTTGGACGAAGAGAAAAAGCTGTTTGCTTTTGAAAAGAGAAATACTGTTAAGTAATATGCAGCTATGGCCAAAGAGCTTGCAGAAAAGAAAATGCTCGACATTGCTTCTGAGAATGAAAAGAGAAGCTCAGATGAAGAGAGACAAGAGTTTGATTATGAGAAGAAGAAATTTGAGAAGCTGAAGAAGGAGTTAGAAGGTAAACTCCTGGATACTTCTAAGAAATTGTCTGATCTAAAAATAGAACTTGAAACTGAACTAAAAATGAGAACTGAACTCAAAGAAAAGTATGATTTAGTTGCTGATGAACGAGACCAACTTTTAAAGAAAGTTAAAGATTTTTCTTGTGCTCAAAGCTCAACTGGTTCTCATTCACAGTGTAAAACAAGCTTTCATGACTGTTCTAAATCTAACAGTTATTCAAGCAGCCCTAAATCAATTGTTTCTAAGAACTATTCTTGTTCTTTTAATCAATACTATCAAGGGTATGTC